AAGCGAGGTCAAATGCCACCGCATCCACTGGTGGCTGGCAGTGGAACATTCCTCCCACGTGGTTAGCTATGGAAAGGGCGGGAAAATTGGACGAATAAGTTTTCATGGCAGTACGACTGCAGTAGTACAGAACAACGATCTAACTATTCACAAAGCTGGTTTAAAAAATATACCGTATAAGTCTGAATACAGCCGACGTTAAACCCCGGCCGGTTCAAAACCATGTTAACGTGTGTCATTTCCGTCACGTTAATTCGCCGACATTCCGCCGCTGTTCCGGGTCAGTAGTGAGTCACAAAATTTAAACGCACATATGACGGTTCAGCAACACCTCCACAGTCTGGTTCTGCTGTACTTTATGTAGTTTACTGCTAGCAGTCAGTTCTACTATTTTATTTGCTTGCCTAAGCGTTTCACTGACCTACCTCCATTATTTACATAATTACGATATGTAACTCTCATTTTAATTACTGTCTTACCCTTCAATAAAAATTCTGCTTGAATGGTTCTAAACAAATAGCATAAACTCATAATTGCATCTGCTGATGTTTCATTGACGATTCTCAGGGCAAACAACGAGATGGAAAAAGTTGAACAGCCATGCCTAAAGTGTCAGTCTGGCTGAAAAAATTTCTATTCTTTGTGTCTAGAACGAGTGAAATCAGATTCGATAACTGTTTATTTTTTTGGGTCGACACGTCAAACACTATTCCTTACGCTCTTGATCCTCTTCAGCAGAAGAAATTAAGAGCCTCACAGTTCATGGAACAGAATTCTTCCAGATACTTGCCCCAGGTTATTCTTGGACAACCGGAGGTCTTTAGACTGTAGCTTGAGCAATTAGTAGTTACTTCCTCTACCTTGATGGAAGCATTGTCAACACATGCCTAAACCATCGCAGCCGTGACCTCACAACCCGGAGAAACAGCGGCTACATGATGGCTCCTATGGATATTTCAACTCCGCACCATGCAGAGACGCATAAGGTGCACGATTCATCTCCGAAATATTATTCCATTCAGCTGTAACTGGGACCGATCGCTTTCATCTCATGACTCATGAAGACAGTATGAGTAAGGGTAGGTTATCATGGAGATGAGGATCGACTTGAACACACACAGAATCTCTTCAGATTCAGCAGAACGTCACTGGCCGTTCAAATTCTCCAGTCGTTCTCTTCCTCCTGTTTTCTATCATAAGCAAAACAACACTCCGAGGTACTTGAACATCTCCATCTGCTCCACTCCGTTCATCTGAAGAGAGCAACGGGCAGGAGAACGAGAAAGCACTAGGCTTTTCGTTTTAGATGCGTTCACACGCATGCTGATCACGTCGCACACGGATTCGAACCTTTCTAGGGAATACTGAAGATCAGTTTTAGAAGATGCCAATAAAAAACAAGGTCATCTGCAAACAGCAACCTCCTCGTCTCGACATCTACTATAACGAAATACTCATTGCTCTGGCTGCGCCTGACTGTTCTATCCATACACAACACAAACAAAGAAAGGGACAGAACGCAGCCATGGGGGATATCAGCACTAACGTTGAAACATTTGAACCTAACGAACGAGCAAAAAAACATTTCAATTTATATACTGGTAATAAATTTGTCAATGAAAATTATTTATCCAACAGTTTCAATATCACGTATTTATGTTGTTTCATCTATGCTGAACAGCGTACTTCTGTGGCGATAAAGTTCAAGCATTACTTGTCTTTCATCAGTTCATCACAATATATATTAGCAGATTTTCCACACTTTTACTATACCGTATCGGTTACTGTATTGTATCTCCTCTGACTCTACCTTGTTAGTCCATGTGGGAAGGTGGCATCAGGTCGACGTTTGGGCGCATCAGAAGCTCATCGCCTAGAGTAAATAGTTTTACGTTCAACCAACCAGTCTGTTTAACAAGGCAAAACTCATCTTCTTAATCTGCACACAGTTCAACCTCATTCTTACTACTAATTCGGTAGCCTATCTCCCTCCACACAGCTGTAAGACAGCATTGTCCTGACAACGGCGATGTACAGGCGAGATTTTATGGTAGTGATGAGTCGTTTCTCAGTCCACATACCAGAGAGGTTTCGAAAAGCATTCGTGGTTAGGGCAATTTTCTTACTTTAATCTAATTGGATGTTGACAACGCTGGAGATGAGAGAGTTGATATAATGAAATTAGTCAGTCTTCGAGCGCTCCATTTTTCCGCTCTATTTGTAAATCAGCTGTTCCTAATCGATACTTATTTCCAAACGTTAAGGACGAGGCCGGTTTTAGCAATTGCGCTGTAAACAGAAGTCATCAGGTTATGGCATAATATCATCCGCTTACTCCAGGTTAGCAACACATCTAGCCGTATATTTTGAACTGCGCCTTCCCCTTAAGGATAGTAAAGGCAAAAACATTTCTATCTGGCAAACTTCCCAATTAATAGTTGAGAACTCAGAGAACCCTCCTTCCACTTTGACAACATCCATGTTTTTTCAAAATGGAATCGATGTGCTCAAGTATCATAGCACTTCAAGATTTTCCACATAGTAGTGTAAAGAACAGCCTTAAACTCGAGGAAAATGGTAAAGGAAGGCAAATAAAATCAGAATCAGCAGTGAAGGCCAGATTTATGACATCTGACCGTCAAAAATGATATTTTAGATGAACGTCTAAATTTCCTGCTGCAGCAAAAGTCGCATACTTTATCGCAAGCTGGCTGCCTCAACTTAAGATGCTGCCAGGTTTTGCCCTGCTCTCCAACGCACCTGTGGCAACTCGATGGCTCCCGGAAGAAAAGTTTCAATAGAA